CTCTCCCCCCCCCCCCACTGGACCATTTTAACGAACTACTTCTCTCCCCTGGACCATTTTGACGAATAATCCCTCCCCCCCGGCCATTTTACCGAACTACTTCCCCTTGGGACATTTTACCGAACTACCCCCCCCCCCCCCCCAGGCCATTTGTTGTGTAAATGTTGTACAAAAATAAATACCTTTAGAGTGGAATTTTTCCAAAGGGAAAAAAAAAGGCTTTACGCAAAACTATTTTATAATGAATGTAAGGTCGGCGTTTTTACATCTAAATGAACATTGTCAAGTGTGTAATTTACTAACTTACTGGATTTGTGTGAATTGGGTCAAGGTTGATTCACCTGTTTATACGCAGCCGAAAATTAACAGGTAACTATTCGCTCTTTCAGACTAGATGTAAATATTTACACTAAAGTGTGGTTACACTCGGCTGAGTAGGGACTTTGGGCTGGTTTGGGCCAGGTTTAACAATAATAAATAAAACACAATACACATAGAGAATCTGTATCATTTACGTGTAATTTTCAACAACCACAAGAAAAAATATGACATGAAAACTGACGAGTAGGTACACTGTGTTGATGTTAACTGTTAAAAGAAAGCAGATTCGTATTTGTACCGTAATAATAGCGATATCCTGTAAAATGTGTGATTCAACCGGTAGGAGGGTCTGAGCCACTTCTCTGCCGGGAATAGAGTAAAAGTATTTTTAAGTATGTATTGGACTGTCACGTGTACTAAGTCACGGACATGGTAAAGTAGCAATAAAGTTTCAGCAGCTAATGCAGTAATAGTAATAAGTAAACTTAATAGTGACAAGCTGAAGCTCTGATGACTACGCTACAATTCAATGTGCGCAGTTTACAGCCTTAAAGTAATAACAACCTGGTCCGATGACCTCTTGTTTCTGGCAAGGGTTTAAGGCCGGTGAATAAAATAACAACCCTCCACACACTCGCGTTCATACACTTCCTCTCCCTAGCACACACACTTTCTCTTTCTGTGTGGTTACATATTTCATTTTAAACAACCATGCCACAGTGGACAAAAAAAACAACAAGAACGACTCTCTTTTCTGTGAATAAAGTATATATTATTATGGCTGATTATGGCTCTAAGCGGTAAAGCGCTAGTCTGCTAACCAAAAATCTCGAGTTCGAATCCGGGATCAGTAGAAATTTGCTAAGTCCACCTAGCTCCAGTGGCGTAGCGAGGTCGGGTGTCACCCGGTGCGGCACTTAATGGTGTGTCACCCCCCCCCCCCCAGAGGCGTAGCGACACTTCCCGGGGACAAACTTTCAAACTTTCGATTTGCACCCCCTTCAAGTTTTCGATTTGCACCCCCCACCCCTCAAACTTTCGATTTGAACCCCCCTCAAGTTTTTCTCTATATATTTTGCTATTTTTTGCCTTGGTGTCCCCCCCCCTAAATGGTGTCACCCGGTGCGGTCCCCACCCCCCGCCCCCCCCCTTCGCTACACCCCTGCCTAGCTCTGATGGGTACCTAACTCATGTTAGAGAAAGTAAAGGCTGCTCGGAAAAGTGCTGACCTTCGCTTCACATGCCTTGGTCAAGAAATATATAAACTAGGTCTAAAGAGAATTTAAAAAAAAAATTATGTCTTATTTAAAAATGTAGAATTGTAAAGTAAAGTTCCCTTTTCAAACCTGACGGTCTATAGGGCAAGTGAAGTACAGTTCACCTGCTTCTGTGACCTCAGCATATGAAGTGATCTTGTAGAATTGTACGTATCAAATATTTTATTGCATACCCTGGAATCGAACTCGAGTTACTCTGGTCTGTAGTCGACTGTTCTATCACCCAACCACGACTTCCCGTTCTAGTACGGTACTACCTACAAAAAAATGGTTATTTTTTTAAATTTTGAAAACGCAGCTAGAATGTCTCTAGCGGTAACGGGTGCCTGACATCGAACTTGACTTGAAAATGTGATCACGATAAAGCCCACTTAGATATTCAACCACTGAACTGTGGAAAATATTGTAGCGGTACACTGGAGTTTCAGGTGCAGCGTTGTAAAGAAAAAAAAAGCAACTGGGCTTTTCAAATAAAACCCTACTTTTGTATGGAGCATTTGTGTGCGAGGGTTGTTCACTGGCTGTCATAAAGGTCTTAGACGCTGTGTGGGAACAAAACAGGCGACAATTAAACTGGGTATGCGGTTTTGATACTTTCTAGCCGGGTGTTAAAATTATAAAGTAAATAGGAGGCGTGTACATTTCTTATTTAGGAACTGATCGAATTGAGGCTTTATATTTAAATCATTATTGATCACAAATCTAGGGACATAAAAACATTTCATTTTTTGAATATTTTAATTTTGTTAATTAAGTAAATTTACAACTATAAGAGGCTGCTTGTTCTACTGGTAGAGCACTCGATTACTGTATAAAAATTTTTTGCGTCATAATCTCGAGTTCAAGTCACCAGGTTTTCCCTGAGTCAACTCAGCTCCTATTAGTACCTGATCCGTAGACGTTCTGAGTCAACTCAGCTCTTATTAGTAGCTGATCTGTAGCTCGTTCAGAGTCAGCTCAGCTCTGAAATGTACCCTAACTTGAGACTGGGAAAACGAAGACAGCTATACATCGACTAGCCACACTTTCATTCCATATGCCGAGTTCTGACAAACAAGAACTCTACTTTATCTGCTTCAAAGACAGCCCATACTAAACGAAAAGTACACTGGAAGCTCTTAAATATCGTAAACGAGTTAAGTCAAATGGGATGGCGTGGTCGAATTGTAGAGCATACGACTGCCCTACCATGAAAGTCTAGCGATCAAAGTTCACTCAAGCTCTGATGGGTACTAACGTTAGTAACGTTAGTAAAATAAAGGCGGCTGGCAATATTGCTATCCCTTCATATGCCGAGGTCACAGAAACAGAGAAACTGTACTTCATGGACCGCCATAACTTAACTTACTAAACTTAGTAAAATCAGATACACAATTCTAAATAACAATGTAGAAACCTATCTATATTTTTTCACAAAAAATATGCCTTTGAACAGAGAGATATAGCAACAATACAGGCTTATTCTCATGATCAAATTCACTGACATTTTCAATACATTGAAAAAACAATTCTGTTATCAAGTGAAATAAAGCTAAAATGGCTATGCATGAATGAAAGCGTAAAATGAATACGATGTGTGATTGTTTCAGATAGGTTTGACTGTCGCCCCACTTGGGACATAGGCCGCTGACCAGAGTTTTCCAGGCATCTCTGTCCTGGGCTAGTCTCTCCAACTGTCCCCAGGTGCATCCAATCTTCTTGGTGTCAGGTATCTCTGTCTTGGGCTAGTCTCTCCAACTGTCCCCAGGTGCATCCAATCTTCTTGGTGTCAGGTATCTCTGTCCTGGGCTAGTCTCTCCAACTGTCCCCAGGTGCATCCAATCTTCTTGGTGTCTTCTTCCAGGTCACGTCTCTAGGCCTTCCTTGTTCGGACTCTTTTCATTTTGCCCCTGATAGTTATGTCATTAAATTATTTGTGTTCAGCTTTAAAATACATACTCTATAAATGTGAACAGTAATATACAATGTAGAGCTACACAGGACTATGTAATCTATTTTGATATTCACTGACACAACAAAGCTGAAGTAGAAATGTAGACTTAGTATTATTTTACATAGTAATGCCAAAGAAAGACATTTGCGGGTAATATAGTCACAGAAAAGACAATCGTTTTTAGCCAAAAGGGATCCGAACTCACGACTTCACACGGTATCGAATCGCCATGCCTCTCGTGTATCAGGTTAGAAGTGTTGACACCACGACCAGTGTTTCCTCAAAAAAAAAGAACGTTACTGACCATTGACCTTGCTAAAAACAATGGCTTTTCTGTGAATATATCACCTACCAGTTGATATGATTGTTTCGTATGAAGATTTGCATAGATTTAGAGTTGCGCCTCTTCTGTTTTTACATTTTATCATTACCCTCAAACTTTAGTCTCTTTTGGTTATATTGGCTTTAAAACGTAAGCAAATAGTCCACACATTTCTGTAGCATAGAAACTATTGTGAGGGAAGTGACATATTATATTGTAGTTAGGAGTCAGAAATAAAATAGGGTATAACAGCTGGGGTTAGAGGAGGAGGGGGGTTGCGGGTTGGGGTCAATTCTTTCACAGCTATCAAAAGGCACTTACAGTATGTTGAGTTACAATGAAAATAAAATGGGGGGGGGGGGGTCCATTCTTTTACAGCTACCAAAAGGCACTTACCGTACGTTGCGTTGCAAAGAAAATAAAATCACATACGGACTTGGTTTTCAAGTGTTGTCTCACAAACACACATCACAACACCTATGTTTACCTTTGGCGTTTAACACATTTTATGTCTACAATGATATTTTATGACTAATGCAGTTTCAGCCCCGCCTTATGTTTACACAGAAAAACAGGATGTTGCTGAGAAAAAAATATTTCACTTTCAACATCGGTTGCTGGCTAAACTTTGGTCAAATAACAAAACTATTAAATTTTAGAAATTGAATTTTGATCCATACAGTTAAATAACAAATTGTAATAGCAAATTAAACTTTTGTCTATTCAATAAAATATCAAGTTTTAGTAAACTGTGGTCCATTCACTGTCCAGTCAAACACTTAAATCCGTGCAATGACAAAATGAAAAATACAAACTTGAATATAGTCTGACACAAGACAGCAAAATGGCATACTAGTTAGTTGACAGAAATTAAAGTGCGGTCATTGACCTTTAAAGCCTAATTACATACTAATTAATTGACTGAAATTACAGTACGGTCATTGATCTAATTACGAGAGGCATAGCGACCCTTCCGGGTGACAAATTTTCGATTTGCACCCCCCCCCCCTTCAACCGTCCGATATGCACCCTACACCTCAAGCTTCCGATTTGCACCCCCCCCCTCAATCTTTTAATTTATTTTTCCAACCCGGGGACATGTCCCCCCCCCTCGCTACGACTCTGTTACATACTAATTAGTTGACTGAAATTATAGTGAGGTCATTGACCTAACAGAGTTTTGAGTTTTTGCTGTATGACGTAATCCATCTCCCACCTGGTGACGACAATGACGCTGTCGTCCGTCACGGCACTGAGCAGCTCAGTGGGCAGCTGGTGGACATGACGTCTGTGTACCAACACCACAACCCGGGCTGGGTTGGCAGGTGTCTGGGAGTACACCGCACACCTGATGGTAAACCACATCCACTCGTCCGCCCTCAGAAAGTTCTCGCTGAACACCAGCACCACCCTCCAGCTGGCGTTGATGGCGTCGACTATCCCGCTGGCTACGTCACTCGAAGGTAAAAGGTCACGGTCACGGACAAACGTTCGCAGACCGAGCTTGTCTTCTATGTAAGGCAACAGCTGATGGCACGCAAAGGCGTAGTCGTTGTCGGCGTACCCAATATACACACCGTTTTTGTAGTCTTTGCAATCATGCAACCGGAAATTCCCAAAATATTGTAACACATACGACATAATGTAAGTCAGTTTATGATTGATAATAAACACAAGCAAGTACCCAATACATAAAGTACTGAAACAGACAATGCTTAGATAAAAGAAATACTGCCCCGAACACTCTCGCCATAGTTTATCAACGTCCTTGTATTCCAGCGTAGTCCTGAGTTTACCACTGTTATCAATGCACGTGTAATTTCTATTGTTGTCAAGAATAACATGAGTTGATGTAAGCCACAAGAGGAAATCTAAATTTTCACAGGCACACGACAGCGTGTTGCCGTCGAGATATAAATAGAAGCCTGCTGATGTGTGTGATCTTGTTTCCAATTCTGAACGAGTTGGCGCGTCTATTGTTGTCAGGGCGTTCCCTCTCATGTCTAGCACGTAAAGTTTTGGCGTGATTTGAATATCAAAAGGAATATTCCGAAACCGATTATACGCGAGGTTTAACCCTTTCAAGTTTAAATTATCCACAAATGTTTGCGGTGCTAAAATGTCCAACTGGTTTGAAGACAAGGCAAGCCACTCTAACGCAGGCAAATACTGAAACAATCGCCTGCTGTTCTGTGATAAAAATGATGGCACCAAATTGCATGCTGCCAGAGCTAGTTTCTCAACGGTGTTAAACGAATCAAAGAAATTAACCAACAAGGAATTCATATTGTTGCCAGACGCAATGATTGTTTTAATACCAGTCAGTCCTTTAATTATATAATTGAATTCTCTAAATCCGTTGATTGAGAAATCAACATAAGTTATGTTAGCTCCGTTCTCGATGTAATAGTTAACTTGAAATGAAGCACTTGGAGTAAATTTCTGAGCATGCAAGGCTTTCAGGAAAGGGTTGGCGTAGACTCTAACAAAACCACAAGTTGGGCACAATGTGGAGGAGTCACTAGTAACACCTTGTTTAGTTTCTTCCATTTCATGTTTTCCGTCAGTACTTTGCCTTACGTTATCTTGCGTCAAAGAACTCACTGGCGATTCCCGACTTAGATCGTCGTCTGTTTCGTTCACGTGATCTTCCCAAAAATTTCTAAAGTACTGGTCTCTCGAAAAAAAAGATTCTAAAATTAGAACCTCTAAATTTCTCAGCAGTAGGAGCTGAAAGCCTGCAGATCTAATACCCAAAATAGGATTATCTGAGAGATCTAAACGTTTTAAACATTGCTGCCAGGGTTTACTAAATAACGAGTTCAAACCTATCAATATGATGTAATTTGATTGGAGAGAAAAATGAGACAGACATATTTGTCGCACATAAAATGTCATATCTTGTGTGAGGAAGCTTTCATTTCTCATTACGCTTACATCAGGTTTATTAATATCTAGTGGCAGCCCGTCAAAGCGAATTTGAGACATTTTTGTTGAATTTAGATATGAAAATAGAGCAAACGATTTTCTCAATCCAATCGGCGTATCTTTCAAAATAAAAACATCTAAATCATAGAAATGTTGCAAAGCTTTTGGATCTAAATACTCTAAATTGTCAAGTTCAATTAAAGTCAACTCCTTTACATGTTTCACATTTTGAAAACTGTGATCAGAAATATTTGTTAATGAACCTGACACAATTAGAGTGGTAAGGTTAGTAATCTTTTTGCATTCAGGGCTGAACTCTAGAGTGTCGTTGTTAAAATCAATAGACAGATATGTTAAACTACGCGGCAATACATAATCTATGATATCATTTGATCTTTGATGTATCAGATGAAGTTCTACTAAACTAGACAAAGACGAAAATGGATAAGTCGCAGATAGGTTGAGATTATTCTTTTCCAAATTTAAGACCGTTAATTCATACAACCCGGCAAAAGAATCGTTAAACAACATTTCTATTTCGTTATTTGACAGCGTCAGATTTTTCAGCCTCTTCAGGTTAGAAAATATTCGGCCTGGGATGGTGTCTAGTTGATTGTTGTTGAGTAAAAGTGTCGTGGTGTTTTCATGAAACCAGGAACGTTTGATCTCTGTGAGGTGTCTGTAGCTACAGTTCACTAGAACTTCGGCTTCAGTCAGAGATGTGGTACATGGCGAATCAATTTCAGCGCTAGGAGTGTGCGATCTCTCTTGAGTATATTCAATAGGTGTCCCTGTGTTTCTCATAGTTTGATCTTCATTATCCAGCTGATTGTTAAAAGAATAAGCCGCAGAAATAAAATGTAACTTCACTATCCAGAGTAGAATGAAAACAGTACACATTGTATATAAACGAACCTCCATTATATATGTCAAATGGATTTCTATCACATGGCCGAGCGGTGTGCTTATTTTAGATTTGTGAGGCGCATTGTGTAGAGGACAGAATGTCACTGTCGCGCTGGTTTACTTTAAGACTTGATTTAGTAGCTCGCCTTACGTGTTGTAAATACTTTGGTCCGTTTTTTTACCTTAACTTGAAAACATAAACCGGGAGTGATCTCCCCCAAAACTTTCTCGAATATACTAATATAAAATTACGAGGGATGGCAACTCAGGACATAGACAATATTTGTTATCCATTTTTAATTACTTAAACTTTTTATAATAGAATAGAATCTCGTAAAAAAATGCATTGCACACCAAGTGAAAAGTTTCCCTTTCAAACCTGACGGTCTATGGGGCAAGTGAAATAGTGTTCACTTGTTTCTGTGACCTGGGCATATGAAGAGATAGTGTGGTCAGCACTATGCCCAGCCGCCTTTACTTTCCCTAACAGGAGTTAGGTACCCATCAGATTTGGGTGGACTCAGGGACGGTCTACTGACTTGAACTCGGATTCGAACTCGAGACTAACGGGTTAGCAGCGCTCTCTACGCTAGACCACTCCGTCCGACACCATGTGAACGCCTAATAAAATGTTTATAAAAGTGCGGGATATTATTAGTACTTTATAAATTTACATGCATTTTTGAGAAATCGGAAATAGAGTAAATTAGTACTTCTGGTCAACGGAAATTACTCAAAATTTGACGGAAGGTAGAAAATTAGATCTTTTACTTATGTGTGAAATTTCATGCATCTATATAAAATAGTACGCAACTTATAGGCTTTTGAAAAATTCAAGAAGAAAAAGTACCACTTCCGGTTATCTACGATTTTGATAAAATACTTATATATGAAATTTCATCAACCTAGCTGTAACGGTACTCAAGTTATCGTGTTTACACACACACAGACAGACACACAGACACACAGACATACGCAAAGAATAGCAAAGTCCAGTTTTTACGACTCGATAACGCATAAAACGCCAAAACGTTTATATATTTGTATTTATAATTTTTGCCTGATTAAAATAAGTCCTCTATACCCCGGATGTGATGAAGGACTGAGGTGTAATACGGTGAAAACTGTCAAAATTTCATATTATTTTTGTGCACGATTACAATACTTTCCCTATACTTCGTATATACGAGAAAGTAAAAAACAACAAAAGTAACAATGATGGAGGGATTGAAGGAGAAATAAATATACAAAGGGATAGGGTGGGAGAGAGAGAAAGAGAGAAAGATGAAACTTGAAAAAAATGAGAAAAACCGAATAAACAACTACTACCTAGACCTAGCTCAATACATTTATTTTAAGTCACTTAAGCTTCTTCTTCTTCCTCTTTGTTCTTAATTGAGAACATGGTGGAGGATTTAGATAACAAGTCCAACTTCGTGAACAAACCGGACTGTGGTCTCCAGTTCAGCTGGTGCCCCGTATAATTTTTCCCTGAGTGGGGTGAGCAGGGGTCAGTGTCTGACTCGCGCCTGGCTATATAAAGAACATTCCTGGAGGACGTGCTCCGTATTTTCCGGGGCCTTGCCACAAGGGCACATTTCACCACACCCAACCTTTAGTTTTTTATGCATGTGTTGATTAGTCTGTTATGGCCTGTTATAAGTCGAAAGATTATGTATTGTTGTTTTCGTGTCAAATTATATCCATCATCTTTATTGCGTTTTTTTTTATTATTCTTTTTATTTCTTTTGGGTGTAGCGAGATTTCCGATTGTTGTTTCTTTCCCCCAATTTTTGCCAGCTGGTCTGCGATCTCGTTACCCTGGATCTGGCAGTGGCCCGGGATCCACTGCAGCACAATTCTGCTACAGGTATTTATTAGCCTTTCTAGTGCCTTTCTATAGGACTCATGATTTTTTAGGGATTGCAGGACTATTTGGTGATTCAGGGTGTTCTGACAGGAGGTTTGCTACATGCTCTAAAGCTTCTATTTCTGCCCTAAAATTTTGTGTGGCATCTTCAGCTGAGCCATCTGTGAATCCAAGTATTGCTGGGGTACTGATCCTTTAGAAGAGGTGAACTACTTCCCCCTCCCCCTGCACCATTTTACTGAACCACTTTCTCCCCCCCCCCCCCTGCACTATTTTACTGAACTACTTCCCCTAAACCATTTTTATGAACTACTTCCCCCTCCCACTGCACCATTTTTCTGAACTACTTCCCCCTCCCCTGCACCATTTTACTGAATACTTCCCTCCCTCTGCACCATTTTACTGAACTACTTCCCCCTCCCCTGCACCATTTTACTGAACTACTTCCCCCTCCCCTGCACCATTTTACTGAACTACTTCCCCCTGCACCATTTTACTGAACTACTTCCCCCTGCACCATTTTACTGAACTACTTCCCCCTGCACCATTTTACTGAACTACTTCCCCCTGCACCATTTTACTGAACTACTTCCCCCTGCACCATTTTACTGAACTACTTCCCCCTCCCCTGCACCATTTTACTGAACTACTTCCCCCTCCCCTGCACCATTTTACTGAACTACTTCCCCCTGCACCATTTTACTGAACTACTTCCCCCTGCACCATTTTACTGAACTACTTCCCCCTGCACCATTTTACTGAACTACTTCCCTCCCTCTGCACCATTGTACTGAACTACTTCCCCCTCCCCCTGCACCATTTTACTAAACCACTTTCTCCCCCCCCCCTCTGCACCATTTTACTGAACTACTCCCCCTGCACCATTTTACTGAACTACTTCCCCCTCCCTGCACCATTTTACTGAACTACTTCCCCCTCCCTGCACCATTTTACTGAACTACTTTCCCATGCACCATTTTACCGAACTACTTTCCTCTCTCCCTGCACCATTTTACTGAACTACTTCCCCCTGCACCATTTTACCGAACTACTTTCCACTCCCCTGCACCATTTTACTAAACCACTTCCCCCCCCCTCCCCCTGCACCATTTTACTGAACTACTTCCCCCCGCTACGTTTTACCAAACCCACCAGCCTATTTTAAATACTTATTCTAAGCTAATCTTGACATCTATACTTATCCAACACCTTATCGCCTTTGCTATCCTGTACTGTACAATGTTACAAAAACTTGTTATTATGAACACAGTTAGGTGACATTACTATATTATATTGCCGACTAGCACACCACATATTTATTTTATTCAAACATTCAAATAATTGTTTTTAATTGTTTTATAACTAAATATTTTAGTGTGGTGGGTTCAATATTTAATATTAATATTTTATTTAATGGATGGACTAATTTTGCGTGACTAGGTTCTTCCATTACTTTCGCCAAACAAAACAGATAATAATTTGGCTTTTGGTAAACATTGACTCTCTGTTCTCAGACCATCTTGTCCCCAGTAAACATTGTGTGCCGTCCTAAAGACGAAGGGATTGTCTTCAAATATCAAATTACATCGTCAGATCCTTAAAGTTGAATGGTTTAGTACATCTCCACTATCAATGTAGATCAGACTTAAGTTGTCATAGGTTTAACACATTATTACATATCCATTATATGTTCCCTGCCTTCCATTTATTTCTACATTCACCTGCTATATGTTCCCTGCCTTCGTCATATGTTTACTGCCTTCCCTTCATTTCTATAATCAGCTGTCATATGTTCCCTGACTGCCCTTTTAACCGTCTACACAAAACTTAAATAAAATCCTTATGGAATAAATTCCTTTTAAACTTTTCGATAACATTTAATCATTTATAAAGTTGTTGAAATAATTTATTTAAGATATCTACACTTTCTAGAAATTTACTTTTATGAATAAAATTATATAATCTTTCATTAGACAGGCGAAGTTTTGTATGGAAATTAGCAATATTCATGCCTGCATCATCAACACTAATATCAACATCCATGCCAGTATCAACATCCCTGCCATCAAATTATTGGTAGACCACTTGGTAGTGCAAAAAAATTGACCATCAAGGGAAAATACCCAGCAATTATTTTTGTTCTCTTCAAAGTATACAAAATAAGGATGCAAAGGCTATTGTAAGAGAAAATAAATAATTATGACTCTTAATTATTGTAAGAAATTATAATGTATAGCTGCTACAGGCGTATAATTTTTTTTCTTGGTTCCCTTGAATCCACCTAGTTAGTTTTCTCTGGTCGTCTATTGATAACAGTCAGGGTATACAACTAATGGTTACCTTATTACAAATATTTACTCAGTTATTTCCCCTGAATTCCATTTTTTTAAAAACTTATAGTAGTTATACAAGCTTTCAATTAGTTCAAAATGTCCGTGGGTTTGTGAGAAATCTTGACAAATCTACTTATAATGTAGCGAACTTGTTCAAATTTCCAGATACATTCTTGTCTGACACACAACCTTAAACGAACACACAACCATTCATTAGAAAAGAAAAAAAATACAACTAGTCTGGTGTTAAAAAAGCAAACAACAAAAAGTTACCAATTGTACTCGAATTTAGAGAAAATCACGCATTCCAAAATAAACGTAGTACTTTGTTGTTTATTTAATTTTGTATAAAAATAATTTGTTTTAAATTATCGGTGTAAGATGTTTCATTAAAATTCAAATTATTTGACATCAGACCTTTACAAAGAAATCGATACTTAAGTCCACATTCATTTATAAAGAGATCGATTATTAACTTCACACGTATGTTAAAGACTTAATAAAACAGAAAAACTTTAGAACACGCATTTTATACGAACACTGCAAAGAGATTTAATTGGTTTTGTAACTTCTTAAGCTATGACGTCTTTCGCTGTTTCTGAAAAGATGACGTTGATTATCATCCTTTTGTCACTCATGGTAACAAGTTTTCCTTTAATGTTGATGAAGAAGCAAACTCGTAATGTAAACACTAATGAAACATTTTAAGAAGTTAATTTGTTGTTGTTAACAATAAATGAAAAGTTTTTGTAGCGATATATTGGTGTGTTAACTTTTAAACATTCTTGCTTATTTAAAATTTAATGTTGCAAATGACAGCACAGCTAGAGTTATTTTTAACTGCCTAAATATGTTTTGTAAAAAGGTGTCATTTAAAATGGTTTCGAATTTGTAATGTGGTTTTAGGTGAGAATATTGATGAATGTCGTTAGCTGGCCCTTCTTAGAAAAACTATTTGTTTAATGCAGTGATATTGTATTTCCAATCTAGGTGAATGTACAGCAGTCTCCCGTCCCACCTATTTGGCCGTTACTGAGACGTGTTGGAAGGATTCATGATAATAAAACTGTGTCTCTCACACATCACACGTTGGTTCTAAATGTCAGCCACGACATTGACAAACAGACTGATGACATTCACGACTTAAAGCAGACAGATGCGTCTGACATACGAAATGACATTAAAGCGAAGCGAAATGACATAGAGTTACAAAACGGACCCAGTAAAGTTGTCAGAAATGACGAAACAAAAATTGAAGTAAAAAGTCAACTCAGAAAAAGATCTGAAAAGATATGCACACTATCACAGGAAAGAGCCCTGATACTAATTAAACGGTAACGGTTATTCATTAAATTATACTTTGTTCATGATTTTGTATTCTCCCGTGGAAATCTTTCTACCATTATTGTTTAGGACTGAAAATATGTTAAAGTTAATAATAACTGTATATGTAAAATATCTAATCTTATTTTTTTTGTTAATGATTAATTGTAATTAAAAAAAATAAAACATTTCAATTTGATTTTATATCAATAATATTTAAATATTATTTAAATTATTTAAACTCGTTACTGAAATTTTTAAAAGTATTTGTGCCAGTTTTATTTTGAAAAAAGTTGATTTTCTATTCCTTATCAGCATTGAGCACGAGTATTTTGAACTAGCAGGTCAGGCTGAGAGGGTAACTGGTGATGATTCACAGGAGGTTGAGTATTACCTTTACAAGTATACATCTGGTGGATTTATCAAGTAGGTTTTTCTCTTACCTTGTATCTGTACTGTAGCGTAGTATAATAGCTCTACAAACTTCACACCGCTAGTAAACATTGTCAATAAACATCGTTCTAGGTTGTTACCGTTTACATGCGGTTCTGTGAATATTGCAATAACATCATACTAAATTTTACCTGATATAATTAGCTATAAATGTCAAACAAATGAAGACGTGTTTTTAATTTAAAATTTAAAAACTCAAATTAAGTAAATTATGTAGAAATTGTATTGAACCACGAACATAAAATATTTAATTTTTAAGTAATAATTTACCAAATCTACATAGCATCTACGGATGATACATTTCATTACATTCTGTAAATGAATATATTTAGTAAAAGATTTCATGGTAATGGAAAATCCTTATCTTTTTACCTCACAGAGTGATTTACAGAATTGACAAATGCTATCATCGTGTTAATAAAGTCAGCTATGATAAAAGTAAGTGCTTTGGGGTTAAATTTTTTTCTTGTTTTTCTTTGAACACATTTGTCAATTATCAATCCAGACACAAATTAAAAAAATTACTTGAAATTATCTTTATACTCATGGGGTAAAATACAACACACATTCTTTGCATTTGTTTACATGATATATTTAAACAGACAGGCAAAAAGACAGACAGAAGGACAGACACTTAGAACGAAATAACATCTTATAAAAGTAACTTAAACGTACTACAAAAATGAATTAAACTAGAAGGAACTTGAGACTAAAAGTAAAAGTGTGCTTTTTTTTTAACTTCCTATTCTGAAATAGAAAAGAGACTTCATTGGCTTATTATTATTTTCCAATGTTATTTTTTTAAAAACATACATTCTAAAAATATATCAACTAATTAGAACTTTCATACGTATTTGTTTAAGAATGTTTATTTACGTGTACACATAATAAAGTTGACATTGGAGTTCCTTGCAAGAACCGTGCCTTTGGTATAGGGGGCAGCGCTTATCAGGGACCGATCTTCTTTGGCAGGAAACCATTTTGTCTGGAGACCACATTCTCAAATGATGGAGAAAGGTGCATTTTAAGAAACAAATATGTAATAGGTAAACTTTTTTTTAAATGTGTTAACTAATAGTACCCAAAGCACGAAAATGTCATTTGTATATTACCGTAACTAAAGCACATTTATACCATTCTAATTTAACAGTTAAAAAGATGCTATTTATTAAACTTAAATATTTGGGTAGTAAAAATATTTAGTTTTTTTCTTAAATTTTATTTGTTTGCTCATAAACTGGAAAACAAATTTAAATACATTCCAAACAGTAGCGTTAATCCAAGATAACAAAATATATAATTTTTTATCAGTTGTTGTTTTTATTTTAATCTTCAATCAAGCTGTGGACGTACAGGGACTTGAAGGCTCAAACGTGTCACCAAGAAAGTGGACCCAGTAGAGTTTAACTGCACCAAACAATTTCTAAGCCTGGCCAATCAGGCCGTTTCCCCCGCATTGGACGCGTTTTTTTACGCCACCCAAACTCAGCACATGCTAGAAGGTAAGCCCACGACAAAATATCTTTTTCGTTATCTAAGCTCAACACGTTAAGGGGATAGACTCCAGAAAAAAAACAAGTTCTTAATTAATAAGTTTTATTTATTTTGGGTACTTAAAGGAAAATATTTGCAAGCATCAGAGACTCTTTTGAAAATTTGGTTGCCATGACAACGGCGGCCATCTTGAAAAAACAACTTTTTGTTGGTTCTAAAATTTCATAAACAAACATAAACAAACATCTATAATAATAGTTTCGCTGTCTGTCTGACAAGAACGCTCTGTCTGACAAGAACGCTCTGTCTATAATAATAGTTTCGCTGTCTGTCTGACAAGAACGCTCTGTCTGACAAGAACGCTCTGTCTGACAAAACGCTCTGTCTGACAAGAACGCTCTATCTGACAAGAACGCTCTAGAGAAAACACAAGGAAATTAAAAACATGCATAGTATTTCGAAAAACGAAGTATGACGTCGACACATTTAGCACAGAGTAGAAAATAATCTCAAACCGGAGAGTAAACATTGAATAAAAAGGAAATTTTGTCTTATCTAAGTGGTTTGCGTGAAGAGTTTCTTTCATACAATTCTTCGGGTAGGGGCGAAGCCCCACCCCCGCGTAAGAACGTCTGAGCCCCCCCCCCCTCCCTAACTCAAAAGAAATTTCTTCATCGATACTCTATAATAAAATTACCGCCTAATTAATGTGTCTAATCTAAAAAGTGGTTTTCTTGCAATTTCTTTAATGCAATTCTTCGGGTAGTGGCTAAGCGCGACACCAGTGTTTCTTTCAGACTTTTTCCTCCCCGGAGAGGGGTGGGGGTACTTGAAATTTTCGGGGGCGGGGGTAGAATTTTCTGGGAGGGGGCGGACACTGGAAAAAGTATATAATTATATTTCGTTGAATGGGACGGTAGACATGTTTTGGGGTGGGGGGGGTGGGGGGGGGGGGTGGGGGGGGTGGGGGGGGTGGGGGTGGGGGGGGTGGGGGGCGGTGTGTGTGCGGGGGGTGGTGGTGTGTGTGGGGGGGGGGTGGGGGGTGGTGTGTGGGGGTGGGGGGTGGGGGTGGGGGGTGGTGTGTCGGGGGTGGTGTGTGGGGGGGTGGGTTGGTTTTAGTTTAGAGAAAAGAGACAGCACTATCAGCCTAGCGCCCGTTGTACCCTTCCTCAACGGGCCATTTTTCTCGTATTAATTAGTCATATAATCATTGATCCTTCTTTTACTAACTCTAATAGAGTCAGCTGGCTAGTTTTTGTAACAGAAAACATTCTAGAAATATCTACTTTTTTGAATTTTCAAAAACAATGCAAAATTTAACGGTATTAAATCATAATTTTTTTTAGAAAATTTGAAAAAAAAAATTTCTAGCGTTTAAATTATAGATAAATAAATAAATAAAATAGGCCTATTATTTCAGAAGATTTTTTTACCGGAGCCAACCCCCCCCCCTTATGCCCACGACAAAATATTGATGTATAGAACATTCATCAGAGTAAGATCGTGATAACAAAAATCACTGTGCATTTTACTCTTTGATTTCAGAAAACCCACCCCCACCCCCCAAAAAAAACAATTGGCTCAGAAATTTTAAACTATATATATATATATATATATATATATATATATATATATATATATATATATATATATATATATATATATATATATATATATATATATATATATATATATATATATATATAACGGTTTATCAGTGTTTTTTCTTAACATAGAGTGGTTCAACTACACCAAGCTACAGAAACCACCCATCATTGTGAAAGTACACTACGGCATCAACGGTCGTAACGGTTATCAGAGCAATATAACGGTGCTGTTTGGCGATGGTGACGATGTGTTTACATCATACGCCACATCACCGCAGGTTGTCGCACATGAAATAGGACACATGGTACTCGCTAAGGACACCAAAGTGTAAGGTTTGTTTAGAGTAGTGAAAAGTTACAATAAACTACTTAAAATCATAAACAATTGGACACATGGTACTCGCTAAGGACACCAAAGTGTAAGGTTTGTTTAGAGTAGTGAAAAGTTACAATAAACTACATGGGATTATAAACAATAGGACACATGATACTCGCTAAGGACACCAAAGTGTAAGGTTTGTTTAGAGTAGTGAAAAGTTACAATAAACTACATGGGATCATAAACAATAGGACACATGATACTCGCTAAGGACACCAAAGTGTAAGGTTTGTTTAGAGTAGTGAAAAGTTACAATAAACTACATGGGATCATAAACAATAGGACACATGATACTCGCTAAGGACACCAAAGTGTAAGGTTTGTTTAGAGAAAAGTTACAATAAACTACATGGGATCATAAACAATAGGACACATGGTACTCGCTAAGGACACCAAAGTGTAAGGTTTGTTTAGAGTAGTGAAAAGTTACAATAAACTACATGGGATCATAAACAATAGGACACATGGTACTCGCTAAGGACACCAAAGTGTAAGGTTTGTTTAGAGTAGTGAAAAGTTACAATAAACTACATGGGATCATAAACAATAGGACACATGGTACTCGCTAAGGACACCAAAGTGTAAGGTTTATTTAGAGTAGTGAAAAGTTACAATAAACTACATGGGATCATAAACAATAGGACACATGGTACTCGCTAAGGACACCAAAGTGTAAGGTTTATTTAGAGTAGTGAAAAGTTACAATAAACTACATGGGATCATAAACAATAGGACACATGGTACTCGCTAAGGACACCAAAGTGTAAGGTTTGTTTAGAGTAGTGAAAAGTTACAATAAACTACATAGGATAATAAACAATTGGAGAAATCCATTCAATTTGTCCGCTACTACATACAACATGCATACAGTAACTCAGTAAGTTTAATACCGCGTTTACACTTGCGACATGTATACTGTACTCGTCTAGACAAAAAAAAAACTCACATCAAGTTAGTGTACAAGTTTCGAGTGAAAAAAAAAGTTTCATACAACAATAACTTGTTGAGAAAGGTTTTTTTCTAGACATGTCTAGCATGCATGTCACTAGTGTGAACGTAGCTTTGGTCGTAGTTGATGAAAAGCAGTATTTTTCAAAAGTTATGAATTTTCGTTTTTGTTTTGGTGATCATGAGTGTATTGACCTAAGCTTTGGCTGAAACTAATCATAAAACTTTTAATGGTATGCTGTCTATGTAGGCCTCATGATTACGTCGTTTATTTGAAAGATTTTGCTAAAGTTTTACATAACATAGATTAGAATAATTATTGAAGGCTAACTTACCTGTGAAATTATTTTAAGAGTTTGTACGTTGCATGTCAGTTGGGCAAGAGTTAATTTTATCTTACGTAAAGGTTGATCCAAAATATTCGTGCTATGAATATTTTCTCCTTTTCTGATGATTCAGAATTATCTGCCTATTATTACTGGAAAACGTATTCAACACAAATGTGTTAGTCTTGAATAATCTAAAATTACAATTTAAAATAAATAATCGTTTTCAACTAGTTGTTGACTCTAATTAGGGGGTCCAGTGTGGCTAAAGAAGGATTCGCTGAAGCTTTTGGTGACATGTTAGGTCAGACATTGTTTTTTTACATCTTTGGAATGGTGGAGTGGATCCGTGGAGCCTGGCTAACGAAGGACGGTTCTGGCATTATGTCGCTAGAGATCCCCCCTATGCATTTCGTTGAGGATCAGAACAGTAATAAAACTGGGCACTACAACGGTGGAGTTTTTGCACGAGTATTTTACCGCATGTCCAAATTTTGGGGGATAAGGTAGGTTCGTGGGTTTTTATATGGTCGTTTTTTTTTTGTTTTTTTTGTCTCATGGCTGATTTGATTAATATTTGAGACTGCTAAGTAGATATTTGAATAACTTTGTCACGATTTTGTAGTTCAGTTGGTTGATTTTTGGGTTCACTCGAGTGATTTGGATGGTTGAACATTAACGTTGGAGGGGAAGACTAAATTGGAGTCGGATTTAGAGATGGCTAACCCCAAGGGCTGGGAACTTTGAAGTAGAAAATGTGGGATGTTTGGTACTTTAATGTATTGGAGCTGTGTTGTAGGATAACTGATAGTGGTTTGGGGTACGGGACTAAGGTATAAATGTGTGATTTGCTTACAGGTTGAGTTGTGTGTGGTAGAATGTCTTTGTGCTTGTTTTTTTAGTGCACAAGATGATGCTATAGACACAGATGAGCTGATGTGAAATATTTTCTTTTATTGTTATATTTTTCCAGAGCTACGATGGAGTCACTTATGTACGCTAAAGACTTGATGGGAAACAACGTAATGAACAAATACGAACACTTTGCTTGTAAAATTATTGAAGGCGCGTATAGTGCAGGTTTGGAGTGAGTTTCTTGTTTTTTTTATTGTATTCTAATTGTCAATCAAAACTTTAGCAATCAATATTTTCTGGTTGGTACGACTAGACCTACAACATTTTTAATTTGGTTGTAATCCGTGGATACATGTTAACCGATAAGAAACATAAATACATCTCAGCTATATTAGTACGGGTAAAAATTTTATATTTTATATTATGTGAATATTGTTAATATTTAAATTTGCGATTTTAAACAGTCTATTTTTCCTACTTTTTTCTAGTGGGTATGAAATTGAACGTTATTTTAAAACTGTTGGCGTGAACATAACAGTAATGTGTCCTGTGGACAGGCAAGTTTTATTTTATACAACTTTTTAAATCGTACAATTTTTCGTCTATACTCCCTGAGGAACAAATAAACTTGGAACTCACAAATCATCTTTATTTCAACTCCATTCATACAAAGATGGAACGGAGTGGCCTTGCGGTAGAGAGCTAGACTGCTTACCCGGAAGTCGCGAGTTCGAATCAGTCTTCCGTCACTGAGGCCACTCAGCTCTGATGGGTACCTAACTCACGTTAGGGAAAGTAAATGCGGCTGGGTATAGTGCTGACCACACTATCCCTTCATATGCTGAGGTCACAGAAACAGGTCCCATAGACCTTCAGGTTTACTATATCGCCTGTTTTACAAAGTACACATTTATGATTTACGAGCCGACCCGCTGCATATCATACGCCACTATTAGTTGTTTTATTTTATACTTTTCAGTAATTCATAATTTGTGAATTCGACAGTACCAATGCTGCCACTGAAAATATTTGCTTTAAAACACTATCAGAAGGTCGTTAAGGACGATACTACCCCCACCCTCCTTTCCCCCAACCCCCACCCTACACCCCCCCCCCCCCGTGAAAGCAGCCTCCTCTTAGTTACCTTCCCTAAGTTTAAAATCGTTTCAAACTAAATTATCTGCCCCTAGTAGCCGTCACTAAACCCGGCTCTACGATTGTAAACATTTAGCGTGAACCAAAGCTCACCAGGGCCATGTAGGGGTGGGGTGGTAGGGAGCGCGCTTACAGCTTGTTTTCTAGCGTCTCCAAGAAGAGAATTATATATATATATATATATATATATATATATATATATATATATATATATATATATATATATATATATATAGCTGGGAAACTACTGCATACATTTTTAAACAATAAAAAGTTTTTAATCAACCGTGATTCACAGCATGCCTGTGCAGACGTTGTCTGGCACTAAAAGAGTCATCGTCTCCAGCAGGCGGCGCCCATTTTTTATAGTGCGGGTCACAAATTTTAAACATGCTGTTTTTTCAACCAATCCGAAGGTAAATGTTCTAATTTTTTATCAAACGTATGCCACGAGGAATAAACACCAATGCTTGTTTTAAATTTCATACTCTGTAAAAATAAATAATAACCTAGAAATATTTTTCAAAAACAGTTCTTTTCTTTTTGATGCACAAAAGTATTTAAAATTATTAGTTTAAAAAAAATAAAAAATAAAATGTTATTGCGTAAATTATGAATTGCTTACAAATATATAATCTTTAATCCATTACAAAACTAGATAAAATAAATTTCGATATAGCACTAAAGTATTACCTCACTTTAGGATGACGTGTTCAGGTGGTAGAGCGCAGGACTGCTAACCCAAGCCCAAGTTTGGAACTGTAAAAACTGACCGCGAGTGACCACCTCCTTATTCTAGCCTACACCTTTTATAGAATCTCATCAACCTCACTCCCCATGAAATTTCGTGTTGTCGTAGACCCATGCCCGGTGATAACAGAAAGATGGCTTTCGGAAAAGTAGTCCCTTGTTCCATCTACCCCTCACACCCCCCCCCCCCGGTCTTTCCCACTACCTTCCTTCGATTAAACCCTAACCCACCAATATTTACTAAGTCGGTTTGATAATGTAACTGAAAAAGAACAAAGTCTTGTGCTCTTTTAATAGATTAAAATATATAAAGGTTATGTAAAATGTTGGTGACTAATGAATATAGTTTAAAATGTAGTACTGGCTAGTATAAATATTCGGTTATGTATAGGTTAAGATGCAAGCATAATTTTAGAACACCTATACGAAGCTAGGCAGAATGTATACAAATTAGGAGCAATTTATGTAACTATTTTACTAGTGTTTACGTTGTATTCTCAAGTATTCAGGTCCATACCCAAGACACACGGGGCAGATAAAAGAGTTCATCTGTTTCAGAGACCTCGGCATATGAAGAGATAATGTAGTGGCACTATGTCCAGCTTTTGTTTCCCTAACCGAGCTGGGTTGACTCAGCTACACCTTACTGAATTGAACTAGAGGCTTTCGGGTTAGCAGTGTAGCTCTCTACCGCTAGGCCACTCCGTCCTATACATGTTTAATATCGTATAAAATACTTTCTTCTTTTGGCAGTAACTATCAATAGATTTCACAGCCTATTACCGTGTTTAAATACAAGTACGCTTTTTTTGTCAGATTGTGTATGACTTACACCTGACGCGGCGCGTATGTCTATTTACAGGTGAGGATAACGGTCTCGACTGATCGTCAAGGTAGACGCTTGGTACAGTCAGCTGGCCTGGGCAGGGTCAAGGTCAGACACGACCTGGCCTGTTGTCAGGATATATTTGTACATTTCTCGACTGGAGTTCTAGCCGAGAAACCAGTTTTAATTACAAGATCTGATGAGGATTAAGTCAAATAAAAAAAATGTTGATTGTTTTACGAAACAAAATGCTTCTAATATAAAATTGTTTACATTAAATAATATATTTCATTGTCACGGTATAAATTGTGATATTAAAATAAATGAAAACTATGCCTTAGTGCCCTTGTTGTTTAGAGTTAGACGGATCATTAAAAGACCTGCATCTAGTCGTTTGACAGTTTCCTGCTTGACTAATTTAAGGTGAGGAATTGATCCAGATGAAAAGCTAGTGGTAGGCACCTGCTCTATTACTTGACCACACATCAGCCACATGTGGACGAAAATTCAATCAGTATATCTCACCATATGGAACAAACGGCGTAGGATTTCGCATACAATTTTCAATCATTTTACATACAACGATTCCTAAACTACATATTAGACGAAGCATAGCACTTATGGACTTTAAGATAAAATTCTGCACAACTCAAATCAAATCTAAAAGTTTACGTAAGTTATGCAGTGTTCTGTTATTTTATTTGTCTGACTTGTCACTGTCGGTCTAAATTTTGCTGATCTTTTAACTTAAAAGAATGTTTTCATGTTTTGAATGATTGTATCAGCTGGGTTTTAAAAATGTGTTATATTTGTATCCGATCTATATATGTATACAGCGACAATTCACGTTACATATTGTGTGCTTGCGGTAATATTCCAAATTACACTCTGATATATTGTGTGCTTGTCACCAGAGTTTCTTCCAGACGACATCTCTTGGGGGGGGGGGGGGGGGAACCGCCCTCCCCAGAAGAAAATCTACTGCCACCCCCACCCCCCACCGAACGAAATGGAATTTATATAGGAAATATATTTTTTTGACAGTTTCCCGGTTTCTGCGATCCCACCTCCCCCGGAAATTTCAAGTGGAGAAAAAAATCTGGAAGAAACTGTTCTTATCACTATGTACCACAACAAAGTAATTACTTCGTGACTGCTGTATTTGTAGATGCTGTAAAAAGTAGCACAGACTTTTAATGGACGGCGTTTGGATGGGAGCAACTAGCCATACTTTCTATCTGATTGTTAGTATTGATCAGCTCAATTTACCAGGTGTAAAATCAATAAAAAAATAATACATGGCGTAAATTGTTTACACACTAACATAGTAAACACACCCAGCAGACGACACTAAACGACCTTTAAGCAAAGTTGTTTTTTATAATAAAAAAAAAATTTCTTCCACTTTTGAGTGTTTCGCTCTGACTGAAGTTGGCATCACATTTTGACAGGCGGATACTTGAAATAGCACAACATAACTAAACTAACGTTAGCGTTTGGATTTGAGTTTTGTTGAATTTCATTTAAATTTCAATTCCCGAGTTACGTGGTCTAGAGGTAGAGTGTTTGCCCACCAACTAAATCACGAGTTCAAATCCACATTCTGACTATATTCGATTAGTCTTGTAAAAGAAGAAAAAAAGTTGAGCTACATTTTGACAAAAGTCTCAGACTGGCAGTAAACACGATAAGACACGTGGAGAGTACGGACGCCATCTTTCAAGAAGATGTAGTCAGGCTTTATTGCGAGAAGAGATATTTTGTAAAAACGAATTTGGAACTCTTTATACACAGGAGGTACAAACGGCTCGTTTTAATTCATTTTAGAAATATATCAAACATATTGAATGTGACGATTTAGTTTTAGATAAATTTTGCAACCAAATATTATTCAAAATACAATGATCTTCGTTGTTTGTCATTTCTTCTTTCTCCTCATATGTATTGGTACAAGAATTTTCTTGTAGAGTGTGTGCTTCATTGAAGATCTAATTAATTCATAAACGTTTCAAGATGCCTCTAAATAAAATAAACCGTGAGTGATCTCCCCTAAACTTTCTCGAATATTCTTATATAACTTGGAATATAGACATGATTTTTAATTACTTAAACTTTTAAAAATAGAATAGAATCTCATAGAAAATAAACCGGGAGTGATCTCCCCTAAACTTTCTCGAATATTCTTATATAAAATAACAGGGGATGGGCACTCGGGCTATCGACATGATTTTTAATCCATTTTAAATACTTAAAGTTTTAAAAATAGAATAAAATCTCGTAGACAAATTATTTGCACACCAAGTGAACGCCAAATAAAAAAGCGCATAATAGTGCGCAATATTATGATTACTTATAAAATTAACATTAGTTTTTTGAGAAATCGGAAGTAGCGTAAAGTACTAATTCCCTTCAACGGAAATGACTCAAAATTTAATAGAAGGTAGAGAATTAGATCTTTTACTTACGTATGAAATTTCATTTATCTATCTGAAATAGTACTCAAGTTATAGGCTTTTGAAAAATTCAAAGTAGGAAAAGTACCACTTCCGGTTATCGGAAATAGCTCAAAAGTTGATACGGATCTACGATTTTGATTAAATACTTATATATGAAATTTCATTAACCTAGCTGTAACGGTACTCAAGTTATCGTGCTTACACACGGACAGACAGACAGACAGACACACAGACAGACACACAGACATACGGACAAGATTGCAAAATTATGTTTTCCCGTATCAGTGAGGTGTGAAACGTCGAGATTTTTTAAAATCTCGATTTTTTTTTTGCACGATTACAAGACTTTCTCTATACTTCGTATATACGAGAAAGTAAAAAGAACGCCAAATATTATTAGTACTTTATAAATTTACATGCGTTTTTTGAGAAATCGGAAATAGCGTAAGTTAGTACTTCCGGTCAAAATTTGACAGAAGGTAGAGAATTAGATCTTTTACTTACATGTGAAATTTACTTTCTCGTATATACGAAGTATAGAGAAAGTCTTGTAATCGTGCAAAAAAAAAAATCGAGATTTTTACAAATCTCGACGTTTTACACCTCACTGATACGGAAAAACATAATTTTGCAATCTTGTCCGTATGTCTGTGTGTCTGTCTGTGTGTTTGTCTGTCTGTGTGTAAACACGATAAATTGAGTACCGTTACAGCTAGGTTGATGAAATTTTATATATAAGTATTTTATCAAAATCGTAGATCCGTATCAACTTTTGAGCGATTTCCAATAACCGGAAGTGGTACCTTTTCTACATTGAATTTTTCAAAAGCCTCTAACTTAAGTATTATTTCAGATAGATAAATGAAATTTCACATATAAGTAAAAGATCTAATAGTTGTAATTAGAGCAAGTTATGAAGATTAGAAGCAATTTGTTTTATTGACTGATGAAATCACACCAAGATATTAACACTAACATCAATTAATTTGTTGAATAAAAGAAAGCAGTATAAAAATATCGATTTAAATACTTTTTTACTTTTTTAAAATAAATCTATAATATAAGATATATAAATAATCCCTAAACCCTGATTGGGGTCTTTGGGGGCACAACAGAGTGGTGTGTCTAGGGCTAAGTGTCGCATGGCGGCGCCCATCCCTCTAGGTTCTAGGTGGCTGACCTTGGTTACGAATACGTGGCCTTTGACGTTCATCTCTTGAGTTCTGGCCAGGGTGCTATAATTGAAGGTCACACGCCCATTGATGCCTTTAAATCTATAGCTTTAATTAAAACAGAAACAGACAACACAAACTGTACTTTTTGCACCCTCTAAATTTGATTTGATTTCCTAATAGTAACGCAAGCTGAATTACATACAAAGTGCAGCAAAGAAGCAGAAATTAACACACCTAACACAACACAGCTAACACGTTCTGTTCTTTCCTGAATCAATTCATTCAAATCCAATTTACGTTATCAGATAGAATACCGTTATCAAAAGGAGCTTATAAGAAAATCAATTCTTAAGTCCTGGTTCATTTTGAAAATAGAACTTCGATTTTCTTTACGGGGATGTTGAAGACAGGGAATAGTGTATAGTACAACATTGTATCTGTACATAGTAGCAATGAAATCCACGGCTATTTCTCTAAGGATGACATTACTTGTGACTATTTTGTTACACGCATTAACAAGTTTTCCTTTAAAGTTGATGAAGGACAAAATTCTACGTATAAATGCAAATAAGAAAAATCTTGGATTGAATGTGTCATTGTTTACTAATGCAGGAGGTGACAGCAAAAAAAAGGTTTGTTGTAGCGCTGTACTCGTGGCTGATTTTTTTTTTTAACATTCCTAGTTATCATTAAATTCAATGATGCATATGACAATAATTAAATAGTTATTTTTTTCCTGTCTAAATAAAAAAAATATTATTGCACATTTTTAAAAGTTTTTAAAGCTCCTTATACAGTTTTAGTTGCAAATATTAATTCTTATCTTAGCAAGAAATAATGGTACTAAAGCGTCATTACTGAATTTCTAGGTCAACGTACATCACTCACCCGTCCCACCTATTTGGACGTTACTGAGACGTGTTGGAAGGATTCATGATAATAAAACTGTGTCTCTCACACGTCACACGTTGGTTCTAAATGTCAGCCACGACATTGACAAACAGACTGATGACATTCACGACTTAAAGCAGACAGATGCGCCTGACATACGAAATGACATTAAAGTGAAGCGAAATGAGATAGGGTTAAAAGACGGACAAAGCGAAGTTGTCAGAGATAACGAAACAAAAATTGAAGTAAAAAGTCAACTCAGAAAAAAATCTGAAAAGATATGCACACTATCAAAGGAAAGAGCCATCATACTTATTAAACGGTAAAGGATTTTTGTTACGTTTAACGTTTTGTTTTTCTTCTGTGCTAGTCTTTGTTTAGGTATTTCAACCCCTCCCCCCCCCCCCTCCCTCCAATCGCTCCCAGACAAAAAAATTATAAGAATTTATAAAGATAAAATACATTTTTACCAGTGTGTCTTGTGAAAGTTTTAAGTGTCTCTCATCCATTACCAAGAAAAAAAGATGAATCATATATTTTTGTTGGGTAGCCCAGACCCCTTAAAAAAGTGCCCCCTCATCATCATCATTCCTTTGTGGCCCCTAGGGAGCAAAGGGCTGCAACCACACATTTCCAGCGGACTCGGTTTTGGGCTGCTCCCTTAATCTGTACCCATGCGAGCCCAGCTTTTTTCGCCTCTTCTTCAACTGTTCTTTTCCATGTTTTCCTTGGCCGGCCCTCGCTCCTTTTTCCCTGGGGATGTCCATAGCATGTTTTGCGATGTTTTCTTTTTCTCTTCTTAACGTGTGACCGAACCATCCCCATTTACGGGCTGTTGCTTTAAAATTTGCCACAGGTCTTTGTTTGATAATTTGTCCGGCCATCTTATTTTAAGTATATGTCGTAAGCATTTGTTTACGAATGACTGTAGCCTATTAGTATTTGTCTTCGTAACGCTCCAAGTCTCCGTGACTCATCTAAAAAAAAATAAACTCGATTTTTTTTTCTATTTCTGATCAGCATTGAGCACGAGTATTTTGAACTAGCAGGTCAGGCTGAGAGGGTAACTGGTGATGATTCACAGGAGGTTGAGTATTACCTTTACAAGTATACATCTGGTGGATTTATCAAGTAGGTTTTTCTCTCACCTTGTATCTGTACTGTAGCGTAGTGTAGTGTGGGAGTCGCCTGCTAGTCTTAAGTTTTAGCTGCTGAATAAGTTTAAATTTAATATTGCTGGTAGATATAACATTAAACTTTGTTAACTTCCAACAACTGAGCCTTTTTTTTATTTTCACGTAAAATGTTAATAGTGTAAAATAAAATGACAACATTTTTATAATTTAAGTTTTGAAACTTTGAAGTAAGTAGATATTCATTGTCAATAACTATTTAACAACAAACAAAACATATTAACTATTTCGGAAATATTAGAAAACTATTGCAATTTATTTAATCCTTGTGGAATGAAATCAGATTGTTGATTGGATTTCAACTTAAATTAAATTCCAAGATTGAACATTTTGTATGCAAAATTTCTAAAAAGTAGAACAGTCGTCTTTATTTTTCACTTCACAGAATGATCTACACAATTGATAAGTGCTTTCATCGTGTCAATAAAGTCAGCCATCAGAAAAGTATGTATTTATAGCTTAAATCATTGGTTTATTTTTTTTCTTTAAATACTTCAGTAAAACCAAACTTTTAATTAAAATCTGATTTTCATTTGTTAAAACACAACTTCAAAGTATCATCATATTACTAAAAACAAGATACAAATGCTATTGAATACAAAATATACTTAATATAAAAACAGGTTTTATTACTTTTATGTCATTTCCCAAATTTATTTTATGAAAATTTGTAAACATTTTTACCGTCATTAAACATTCATACCAAATAATTGTCAACCACTTAGAGTACTTTAAAATGGTTTTGGTTAAAATTGTTTATTTATGCAAACAAATTATTTAGCTCCATTCGGGGGTACTTGCGAAAATCGTGCGTTTGGTATAGGAGGCAACGCTTACAATGGACCGATCTTCTTCGGCAGGAAACCATTTTGTTTGCTGGTCTCGTTTTCAGATGACAAACAAAAGTGTATTTTAAGAAACAAATACGTGGAAGGTAATATTTATTTAAAGTATTTACACTGATATATAAGTTTCTGATAAGCGTTTTGAAAATGTAGACCCTATTTCTTATCAATTAATTTTTAAAGATCTATATTTTTAAAGTACAAAAGAAAAAAATTAAACCGAATCTCTATTTTAATCTTAGTGTAAGAAAAGCAATTTTTTTCCAATAATTTTTAATAAGTTTACTTGAGTACATTTTCTGAAACACGTTTGGACAGATTACTCTGTTGTCGTTTCAGAATATACATGTATTACAATCACAAATAAATTCATGAAAAATATGGTTCTTTTTAAATTGTTAGTTCAATTAGTTTATTTCATTCCGTTTTCTAAAATTCACGAGGAAAGATTTTACTTAACGTTAAGCAGGTGATTAGTCTAGTGCCGCTCTTTATATAAAATTATTAAACAGATTACTTTTTAGGTTAGTAGTATTCTATTCTTAGGTCTAACTTACTCAATGGTGTCACCAGGAGCAGATCATGTCCTCCCATCTTTCCCTACCCTCTCTTTGAATAACTGCTCTATAAGCTTTTAATACATTGGATAGTTCGTGAATAATTTTATGAAGTTGTGTTAGTTTAAATTATAATACTTCAAGTAAGATAGGGAAAACACCTAATTGAAATTGATACTTTATGCACAAGCGTGTTCATAATTACCAGTCTTATGATAGGCAACTGCTAGAAAAGAGAATTTCGTTTCTTTTGTTCAAGTAAATTAGTTTGTAGCTCATATTAATGATAATTGTTACCAGACCATAGTGACGCCACTAACTCGAGGGTTGAGGGGGTGGGGTAGATCTTGTAACGCCACTCTATCGAGTTCTGATTAGGACATTGTATATATTGTTTTTGCCACAATGACGACACTATTTCAGCGAATTGATTTATATTATTCTGACGACCCTTTATCTTTTTCTACAAAGTTAGAGTGTACTTTAGCCATGATTTTCCGGAGTGCAAATTAATGTAGTTTTATTCCATTGCATCTAAAGGAGTGGGGGTAATAGACGTATTCCGGGGTAGTACCCATCTACCGACAAAGGGCGGAAGTTCGATCTTAACAACATATATTGTCAAATTTCATTGTCAAATAGTTAGCAGCTTTATACTATCGATCTTGAAACAATAATTTTAATGTATGAATAGTTATGATATTGTTGATTTAGAGATACACGTAGATGAAATAGAAATCATAAAATGTTTCACCAGCTAATAAAAATGTTGAAAAAAAAATATCTAGGAGTAGACGTACGGGGACTTTCTTTATCGGATGCTAAAAATAAGTCAGACCCCCTTGAATTCGACTGCAGTAAACCATTTCTAGATGGTCCCAATACATCCATATCACCCCTGCTGGACGCTTTTTTCTACGCCACCAAGGCTCAGCAGATGCTGGAAGGTGGGTACAAGACTAACGTTTAAACGTTTGTTCATTGAGCAAAATAATTTCTAAACACTGCTTATCTACATACCACTGAAAATCCAATGCAACCAACCACATTTCAAACCACCAGAACAACCAACCTCAACACCACCACCACTATAAACACCACCAACACCACTAACACTAACACCAACACCCCACAACAAACACCAACATTACCACAAACACCAACACCACCACCAACACCAACACACCACCGCCACCAACACCAACACCACTACTAATACCACCACCAACACCAACACCACCAACACCACCACCAACACCACCAACTCCACCAACATCACCAACTCCACCAACACCACCAACACCACCAACACCAACACCACCAACACAAGCATCTGAAGACACAACACAGGCAGCAGCTACAGTTAACTAAAAACTCGACATCTGAAACCTTAAAATATCATCACTGATACAGCAACGCCAACAACGCCAACAACGCCAACAACACCACCAACACCACCAACTCCACCAACACCACTAAAACCACAAACATCAACACCAACACCACCAACACAAGCATCTGAAGACACAAGACAGGCAGAAGCTACAGTTAACTTAAAACTAGACACCTGAATCCTTAAAATATCATCACTGATACAGCAACGCCAACAACACCACCAATACCACCAACACCATCAACAGAAGCATATGAAGACACAACACAGGCAGCAGCTACAGTTAACTAAAAACTCGACACCTGAAACCATAAAATATCATCACTGATACAGCAACGCCAACAACACCAACAACACCAACAACACCAACATCACCAACTCTGAAACCTTAAAATATCGTCACTGATACAGCAACGCCAACAAACACAGCGACTTCCATGACCACAGACAGCAGTGGAAACGGCATTAACAAAAAGATGACAATACTACTAAAGAAATAAAGCAGGAGAGATCTTTCCTAAACTTTCTCGAAAATTCTTATATAACACTAAGGGGAAATCAACTCGTGATATAGACATGATTTTAATCAATTTTTAATTACTTAAACTTTTTAAAATATGATAGAATATAAGAATATAATAGAATCTCGTAGAAAAAGAATTGAGCACCAAGTGAACAGCAAACAATGGGTGAAATATTACTACTTTATAAATTCATATCAGTTTTTGATGAATCGGAAATAGCTTAAAGTTCTACTTCCGGTCAACGGAAATTACTCAACATTTGACAAAGAATTAGATATTTACATATATTAAAATTTCTTTTATCTATCTAAAACAGCATTTAAAGTATATACGCTTTTGAAAAATAAAAAGTACAATAAGTTCCACTTCCGTTTACCCGAAATCGCTGGAAAGTTGATATAATACTTAAATGAAATGTTATCAACCCAGCTGTAACGGTACTCATGTTATCGTATTCACAGACATACATACACACATACACACACACAGAGACATAGGGACAAAAATACAAAACTAGGGTTTTTTTTGCGACTCAGGGAGGCGTAAAACGAGATTTTTTTATTCTTTGCACGATCACACTACTTCCTCTATACTTCGTACACGAGAGGGTGAAAAAGAGAACCAAAAGCAGCTAAAACCAACAACGATAGAGAAAATATGGCAGCAGCCACTATACCATCTAAAGCAAGATTAGTGTAAAACTTACACAGTTGCAGAAACTGGCTAAACTGTAAGGTACATAGCAGGTGGCCATAAACTAATAACATTCTGCAACATAGAGATAAAAGCAATAAAAACATTAACCATATAGATGTAACAGTCATCAAATACTGAGAGCAGGAACACATGATTTTCACACAAAAAGTACTCATTCTTCTACATCTAAAACAAATTGGCACTCACACAATGGCCCTGCAAACGATGAAGTCTGTCAAGTGAACTTCTTGAAATGAAATATTTTGTCTTTTAAAATGATTCAAAATAACTTATAGGCTATAGGAAATAGTTTTAGATTTTTGTAAGTTTTAAAATTTTAATGATAATTATCATTGGTTAGATCATAATTTCAATAATTCTAAAGTACATTTCTTAGCCCAGCACAATGATATACTTTTAGTTCCGGCTATAAATAACGTTAGCCAGCTTTATACTAATTTTCCGTAAAATCGTTGTTGTTTTTTAAATTTATAAATTAAAAACTAAACTCTCATTAGTTTGGTCAAATTTAATGTTTTTAAAAAGCATCTTTCAAATTATTTTCTTTATATGATGTTTTATAGCTGTGAGACCATAATAACTATGCTACACATATAGATGAGTTTGTATAATACTTTATGGCGATTTTTTTTCAGCTGTGGTTGTCGTTCTCATGGTAAACTTCCCCGTGTAATTCAAATCATTTTTCTTTCAGAGTGGTTCAACTACACCCAACTACAGAAGCCGCCAATCCTGGTGCGTGTACACTACGGAGAAAACGTCCCTAACGCTCACCAAAATAACATCAGTCTCATGTTTGGGGACGGGGAGGGGGATTTCACGTCCTTCGCCACCGCACCAGACGTAGTAGGACACGAACTGGGACATATGATTCTCGACAAACATAACAAGATCCCTTGGCGGTAAGTTTTGTTTTTATCATAAGCTCTTTATTAATTATAGGTATCTAATGTATAAAGGATATATATATATATATATATATATATATATATATATATATATATATATATATATATATATATATATATATATATATATATATATATTCTCAAAACTTAAAAGAAGGCAGATAATTAGATCTTTTACTTATATGTAAAATTTCGTCTATCTATCGAAGTTATAGAGTTTTGAAAAAAACAAAAGTAGAATAAGTTCCACTTCGGGTTATCGGAAATCGCTGAAAAGTATGTAAAAACTGTTTTAAAAGCATGTCTTTGCTTCGAGTTGCCATTCCCGTAGTGTTATATAAGAATATACGAGAAAGTTTAGAGAAGATCACTCACGTTTTATCAATATTGAGATGCAGTTTTGTATAAAATGTTAAAAAGGAATACGGAAAAAGTGCATACATTATCAGTAGCCTTTTCAAATAGCCAAAATATAGAAGTTTTTCTTTTTTTACCCATTTTACAATTTATCCTTAAGACTGCACCTTGTTTGTGCACATCAATTATGAAACTGAAAATTTAACGGATTGTGTAGACGATTTGTTTTTAATGTATATCTTAGTATACGTTGTTACCTCTGTCAGTTATCAGCCATAATTTTTGTATTTAGTTTTCTTTACCCATGCACAAATGTAAACGCTTGTATTCAGCTAAATAAACTCTCCTGATTTACTTGATTTTCTGTTCTAATAATGTGTCAAGTATATATCGATAAAAACAAGGATTTTCAATGAACTAGAATATGTTTTTCGTATAGTTTTATATTTTTCTATTGACATTGTACTTGAGGAGTTCCTTCAAAGAGTCATTGAATGAAATATCTATACTAGAGCCTTCTATATGTAATCACTTATAAAATAACCGATCCCACTCTGCAAGATAATAGTCGTAAAAGTTTGTACAATAAATATAATATTTCCTTAATATACTTGCATTGAATATATTATTTTTAAATGAGCATTGACATAATTTTATTTCTCTGTCAGCTTATTAAAGAAGAACGCAGCCCGAGGTGGCTACGGTGAAGCATTTGGTGACTTGCTTGGTAAAACTGTGGAGTTCTACATATTCGGGATGTTTGAATGGAAACTCGGTACTTGGATAACGAAAGACTATTCCGGCCTACGATCATTAGATTTGCCCCCAATGCAGGACGTGAAAGATGCGCTTCATACAAAAAGTGGACACTACAATGGAGGAGTTTTAACAAGGGTCTTCTACCGCATGGCTAAGTTTTGGGGGATCAGGTAAGGAGATTTTCCAACTGTAATACAGACTGTATATACTATATCTGTCTTTTTGTATTAGTCCGACCGTCCGCCCATATACAGCAATTTGTTCGTCGGTCAGTTTGTTGGTCGGCCAGTCAGTCCTTTGGTCGTTTGTTTTTTTATTGTTTCATCAATCTCAAGCTGATATAGTTGCCAGTGTAAATTTTGTTTTTTTTAAGAGCAACAATGGAAACACTTTTGAAGACAAATGAATTGATTAGCATTGGCGAAATAAACACGTACGAACAAGTGTGCTGTAACGTTATTCATGCCGGATATTTCGTTGGTTTGGAGTAAGTATTTTTAATGTATATATTAAGTAATAATACACAAAATTAACTTTTTGGAAAAAGGTATTGTAAGCTGTAAAGTACCACACAAAACCACGCTGATACTAAGCTAACCACACTATACTTTTATACAGTTTTGGCTCACACCAACTTCCGACAAAAACGTTCTCAGTATACCATTACGTACTTTGTCAAATACATTTTACTGTTAAAACTACCAGAAGGCCATACTTTTCTCAGTTTGACACAATAATATGTAAAAAAAAAATTCACAGCATATGAGACGCTAAAAATGAGTTAAAATAATTAATTTCCAATTTAAATCAATTTTCTTTACGCGGTAATGCTTTCACAGCTAGACCCACCAACGCTCCAGAGGAGTAGCTAGGGGAAGGCGGGTGAGGCGGTCACCCCGGGCGCCGACCTTAGGGGGGGGGGGGGCCTTAATGGGTAGGAAAAAAATGTTAATACAATGTTACTTAGCTTTGCGGAATAATTTAAATGTTCTCTACATCAGCTATTCAACACCAACATAAAAAACATTAAGGGACCATGACTGGGGGGGGGGGGGGGTCTGCCAATATGGATAATTTTACGAAAAGGGGTTGGGGGCTTTTAGCCAATGTGAATAATTATATAAATGGGGGAACGGAGGTGCAAAATTGATAGTTCACCCTGGGTGCCGGAATGGGTCGCTACGCCTCTGCAACGCTCTAGTCAAACACCCTCTCTCTAAAGACATCCTCTTCTCATACCAAAAAGTTGTTGATGCTTCTGGTTGAGGTGGTGTTGACGGAACGTGGAC